TGCCCCAGTGAAATACTCAGTGACTGATTTTATTAACACAAGCAGATGGTACTACTTTGTTTGCGCTTTTTTTGATAGTACTGTTTTATTTTGATTTAAAGTCGCGAACTGCACGAGGTCGAACGCTCGAAGTTGTTAAACAATGTTTAGATGTTTTCGAAATAAATATATTTCATTCTCATAAATAAAAATATGCTTTATTCGAATGGCTTCAACATTCATAACAAAATTATTAATGGAATTTTACTCCCCAAATTTGACTATTTTCATTCTCTCATATCTGCAACAAATAAAAAATCAGCAAACGTTCTACTGGAACTGAAAGAAGTTGTCATGCTTAAAGAAAAAATAAATAAAACAAGTTACAAAAAATTTAACGAATCAATTCTGATATGATCATTGATAATTCAACTTTTAAGAAATAGTCAATAATAGAGCGTACAACTGAAAAAATTGTTTAGCTAGGAATTCCGTTTTGTCGGAAAGCTCAACAGATCAAAATCTATAGAGCAAAATTTTATGAAACCATCATTACGAGTTTTCCAGAGAAATACTCATCAGTTTTTATCATCGGTGTTTCATATTTTAAGTTGTGCAAAGCGCATATTGCGACGATAAATTACTTAAGGAGTAAGCCAATGAATTCAGAAGCACGAAAATCGAGTTTTTAATGTATTTAGACCGTTTTTCCATAGCATTAAAACATTGGCGATTAGATGAATGCGATTTTACTATTCCATTAAAATGAAACCGCGTTGAAAGTCAACCAACCAAGCAACTGAAGGGCATTTATATACGACTGCCTTTGTAAGTGCAGTACAAGGCTTGTGGAAAGGTCGGAAAAAAATTAGGACAACATGAATATTAACGAACTTTATTGGCGTAAAACTACTCGAAAAAATGTATAAGGAATAAGTAAATAAAAGAAAATTGAAAGAGTTTATGAAAAATGTGGTTGTTGTAAAAATCCATTAGTGAAAAAACCTGTTTCATATGAATCGGCGCATAGTACAAATTCGGATAAAAATATAAGATTTTTGACTAATCCTATTGTGATTTTCGTTGGAAATGGTTTAGTGAATGCGATTCATTCAGATTATAAATGGCTAATCGAAATATGCGCAAAAAATATGAAAATAGCGAGATTTTTGGTAATATTTGCTGGCAGAGATCATTCGGTATGATTTGTACTTTTATTGAACTTTTTTGAGAACCGGACCTGTGTCGTATTTCTTAGCATATTAAAGAATTCAATTTCGCGCAACATAATCTCTAAATTTTTCATCATAACCAACAGCACGAAGTATTCGGAGAATGCAGAAAATTTTATTCAGAGATCCAGCTATAAAAAGAGTCATGAAAGTACGATTGATGCATAATGATGCTGCTGAATTGCACTAATGTTAGTTTTTGAGAATAGAATTTCGAGAGACCTCCACGACTTCGCCTTTGGGAAAATTTAAAATTTTCCGAGCTCAAATATAAACTTGAAGAAAGCAATAATAAAACTGATAATATCGAAAATTTTTCAACGATCCGTGCCACTGTTTTCAGCAAAATCAAAATATGATCGGAGTTCTCGCCTTTTTTTTTTTCATCTCTCCAATCATCTTTTGACTAAAATAAAAATAATGAAGGAGTTTTAAAAAGTCATTCTAGCAAACTTTTTTTTCGCACTTATGAACCACATATGATGATCGGCAGAAAATGCCAGAACGAGGCAATTTGCATCGCATCACGAATTCCTCTGCATGAAAATCATTGGCATAGAAAATAAAATATCACATCACATCTTATACAATTAAATGCGAATTTTATTATGAATTAATAATAGTTCAAAAAATTTAACTGCATGATTAATTCTTAAATGGAGAGATCTTTCCAAACGAAACAAGAAGATATATCAAATAGCATGAAACGACGTTCCTCAGGATAACCTGTAATGAGGAAGCAACCATAATGCTTAATGTCTTTACCACGATAAACCAGAATCTATATTCATCGAGAAAATTTATTGACTGCACTTAAAACCACTTCGGTTCAAAATTATGATGTTGACTAATTATTGTCTTAGTTATTTAATAAACTTAGAGGATGTGTTCAGCTTGTGTCATCCAATGCCATCTTCCTGCAGCTCTTACATTACGTCTTACGAATGAAATTAATAAAAATATATTCGCCTAGAAAGTGGACCAAATCGAGTAAATTTTTTCAGACCAAATTTCACATATTCACACCCAACAATAATGCGAACATTACGCATACATGAAACTTCCCAAGGCTATTTCTAGTATTTTTTAAAAATTTATTTATAAAAATTTACAAAAATTTTATTCATCAAATTCTGACCAAAAAAATAAATTAAAGGAAACAATTATAGTTTCCTTGCAAATGAAAATTTTCCAAAAAGTTAAATTCAACTGCTAACCAAAAAATGAACTTAATAAAATAATAATAGAGCGAAAATTTCGGATTAAATTTTTTTCTTCCCATTTTTTTTAAATCCACAAATTGTATTATTTGAATCGATCCCAATAAAATAAAAAATTACTATGAAATACTTTCCAATATTTAGCAAACAAACAAAAAATTGCAAAAAAAAGACAACAAAAGACAACAGCCAATGAAATAACAAAAAATATATACTGACTGAATAACAGATGTTTTAAGAACTAACGAAGCCAAAATGCAAAACAAAACTTATCCTAAGGACGGGTAGAATTCCAATTTCAAACCTTCGAACACCCCTTGCTACATCCTCAAGATCAGTTGCACTACCTAAAAGCCTCTCCGAATTCTACTGCACTATTTTGATACTTGAAAAGCTCCTTCAATTCTCCTTTGACATCTTCCTGCTATACTCTTTCGAAAACTTCTTTTCTTCATTCTTTATCACCACTAAGCATTAGTGGTTGTGCTGATTCTATTGACTTCCGCAAAAAATCTCATGGGAACAGAGCAATAGGTGGTGTCTTCAACGGCACTAGCATTTAATTTATAATAGGTTTGCTCTTGTCAAGGAGGCAGAGAACTGAACCAATGATACTGAATGCGAACAGAAGCAAGCATTCTATTCGACCATCCTTGCCGTTTTCGAAGGCTCTACTTCTCTTTGATTCCACTTTTATTAAATCTATATTTTCTACAAATATACTTGCAACTGTAGCTGCAATTGGGATGGGCTTTAAGGGAACAAAATGGGGATGGGGAGTACTCTTGAAAGTTAAAGCAGTAAAAAGACGTTTAAAATGATACCACTAATAGATCTAGGCAAGGTTTAAAAAAGGGATCTCCAAAGAGGATTATCAATGGAATTTTTAAAGGAGTTTATGGAGAGGTATTTTAAAATAATCTTTTTACAAAAAAATCTTTTTACAAAACCAAACTTTTTTAAAATTTAAAACTGTGGTTTAATGTGGAAGATGACTAATTAAAGTTGGAGAATCATAACAAGTACTCATGAATTTGTTTACAAATCACAATACACCAAAGAGACTGAATCATATAAGGGTAATGTTACTACTGAATTATGGCAAGGCGAGTTTTGACGTAGAGAAAATTAGAGAAATTTTGGTACATAATATGTTAGGAAAATAAGGCGGAAAGTTTGATGGACAGAGAGTATGGAAGAATATTATGGACATATATCGGGGTAAAGTGGTACTTTGGAGTGGTACTATGGAGGAAAACAACCGAAAATATATTAATAATGTAGATTATTGTAGATTATTGCTCTACTGTTCCGTTATATATCGATGGTCGATAAATTGTTGGCGCATTTTCAAGAAATCGTTTGTTGGTACCGAACCGAGATCCTCAAATACATCAGCCAGATAAACTGAAATCTATTCATTTAATCAAACGCTAACGAAGGCTTTAGACATCAAATATATGAAAACGAAATTATGCAGTAAGCAATACAATTTGGGATAGTAAAACTCGAAGCCTCTTGCATTTTCCTCCAACTGATAGAAAATAAAGTATTTTTAGAACAAAGCAACACATAGGAGAATTTAAAAATTAGTGAAACGATATACAAATAAAAAAAAACAAAAGCAAAAAAAAACGATTCAAAAAAAAATTCTTAAAAAGCTAAAGGGAACAAATATTAAAGATATTAAGATATGGAAATAAAAAAAAATGAAAATAAGACATGAAGAAAAAAATATCAATTAATAAAGAAAAAAGAACGCAAAAGGAAAAATAAAAAATTAATAATGATTAAAAATTAAAGGCAAGAAAAAAGTGACAAAAAGGACAAATGGAATTTACCATAAAAAATAAAATAAGAAAATGAAACATCCAAATTTTCAAATCGCATATATTTTAATATATTTCGACATCTAATAGCGATTTTTCTTAAAGTGCCCTCATCATTACTGATTAGACTTGCTTCGCTGGCCTGCTGAATGAATATGATAGGGGATCCAGTGGAGATAGAGGTACAGGTGAGTCGCTAACATCACTCATATTTTTCGACAGGTTTGCTCTTGCAGGGAACCTCAATATCAGCGCTCTGAATTCAGCATCAACACTCTGAATCATTCTATCTCATGATGCTTCCATTCCATTTCTATATTTTTATATAGATCATATCTGTTGGCTACGCAAGTTCTTGTGCACACTCACTTTTCCAGCCGCTATTTAACTTAGCATTAGCTTCTTTTAGTTCTTGGTGCCACAACCAATATGCGTTAATTTTGTTTCCCAAACAAACAATTTTATCTAGGAGTAGAATAGTGGCTCAGACTGCGACAAGAATTCGGTTCCTGTCACTGGCAGAAATAAACCTGTCATTAAAAAATTCCGACGGTGTTAGCTATGCTGACTTTAAAATTTCAAATTATTAATAGCCTAACCAAAAATGGTGAGAGCTAATCACTCACTTTTACTTATTCACTTCATGTGGCATCTTTTCCTTTGTCTTACTTATTGACACTGCCAACCGATGGGAAATGCACCCTAAATATCAATATGAACAAATTATTCTGTATTCACGACTAACCATAATTGATACCAAATTGTCGACCAATATAAGTCGAAAGATTTTCTAAAGGACCAACGGAATCAATAAAACATTCTTGAATAACATTTGAACATCTCTCAATCCACCAAGCTCCAATGTCATCTAAATAAAATTTTTAAAGTTTCATAATGAAAAAGCATAACTTGCAATTTTAAAGATTTCAATATTTTTTGGATCAAATATTTGGTACATTATGAAATTCACAAAATTAACTTAAAATTAAAAATAAACATAGACAAAGTTTAGATCTCTGGTTTCGAGAAAATGTAAAATAAGGGAAAATAAGGAAAACAATAAAATAAATAGTCAATTTTAGGTTTTTTGATATCATCCAACAAATAAGCGAAACTTTTACGATTTTCAAAATGCTATGAAAACAAAAAATTTAATCAAAGAAAAAACTAACCAATGGTTTCTGTTTTTGATGCTATAGCTAAAGCAGTTGCCATATTGACATCTTGCGAATAAATGGACAACTGATGCGCTATTGATAAAAGAGAAACACCGGCAGCTGTGACAAATTCATCTGGAGTGGTACCAAAAGACGGTAGCTCACCTTCGAATAAATTCGCTTCCATTTTGTTATTTAGGAATTTTGCTTTCTTGAAGAAAATAAGAGAATTACTTCAAAATATCTCTATGTAAAATGTAAAATTTTAATGAATAGCTGTTTATTGATGAAACTGTTTACCAAACTTTTTGATCCATTTATTATATTGGTAACCAAAGGCCGCGTAAGAAGGTCTACAGAACGATTAACAATGCGCCTCGTTATACTGCGTAAGTCAGAACGAGCTTTAGCAATAGTGATATCTCCTTCGGCTCTATCTGGAAAACCAGAATCAAAGAATGTTTCAAATGAAAACAATTTTCACTTTTACAAATCTGAACGTGTCGAGCTAGTGAATAAATGGCAATTAAAGCCATTTGAATTTACTGCAGAAAGTTTTTATGCATCAATAAGATTAATTCCTTTAAAAAAGTGAAAAAAAAAATTGCCGATCCTATTAACTCGAAATTTTTTTATCAAAATTAGCGATCTCATTTTTCAAAAATGTGGAAAACTGTATTGCTGGAATCTGTTTTTCTTCATTTAAATAAGCATCAAGAAGCATTTTCAACATTGAACGATCATTTTCGATCCACAATACCATCTGTCCTAAAAATAATATCTTTTTCACGTAAGCTTTTAAATCATCCACAGCAGAAAAAATCAAGGTTGTATACAGTGTAACAATATAAATTACACCTGCCAGCCTTATAAAATCGAAAATTTCGCTGTTACTGATTGAGCTTTTCTCTTCAAATATCTTATAAATCTTTGAAAATGAGGGAATTAAATTTTCGTACATTGCCTGAAACATAAGGTCGAATAAAAACCACTGGAACAAATAGAAATAAAAGGAATACAGCAAACGAATAAAAACCATTAAAGAAGAGAGATAATAAAATCTTCCTAAAAAATCGGTCTTACGCATATAAACAACCTTATTTTTATCGGATAATTAAATATTTTCACTAGATGTTTCCTTATTCTCTTATTCTGAATAGATAATATTATATGTTCCACTCAAAAAATGTATTTATAATTATAATGAAAATTGCAAAAATCCTCCAACCAACCCTGAATGCAGCGCTGACAAAAACGATGGCAAAACCAGCGAAAATCTCTTTTGATATGTTCAATATATAATGACTCTTTTCAATCAGGTGGGAAAAAGCATTTGAAAAATGCTCAATGGAAGAGGAAAATGAACCAGAACCCTGCAAAATTGATTTAAACCGACATGGTACGGCCGATGACGTTAAAAAAACGGTATATTCATCAGACCAACTTCCTAAACTTTTTTTAAACTTCAGTGAGTGGATAAAACATGAATGAATTGAAAATAGGCGGCATTGAAAGGTGAAATAAAATTAATAAAACCATGAAAATGAGAAACACTACCAACGAAATATTAGAATTTGATGTCAAGTAAGAGATGACCACTTTGTTGTAATCAGAGGCTACTGTGAAAAGCATATTCTTTGCAAGATGACTAATGCATTCATTTATCGCACTATCATCAGTATGAGATAATATATCAGAAATCATCTAAATAAATCTAATTTATTCCCAATGTATCGCAAAGAAAAAAACACAATAAACCAAACATATTCTTTTTTGAATAGTAAATTTTCCAATATATCTCGATCAAACTGGCTGCATATTGCACAGAAACCAAACGTTGAAAGTATAAGAAAAAGAAAAATGAAACCGACTGAGAAATTTAAGAAAATCAAACCAAAGAAACAAGACCTTTTTGAATGAAGTAATCATTTGCAAAAAATGTGCTTTAGAAGGATCTTCAGAAAGTGAATTTTCGATCGTTTTACCACAGGCGTCAGCAATTTTATCCCACTGATTATTCATGCTATTCTTTAAAGCAGATGTGACGAACTCCGTTGGTGAATCCAAATTCTTTTTAGCCCAGCTGAAGGAAAACGAACGAATATGACAGACAAAATATTGCACAAAATAAAAATTATTTTGCACAAATTAGTGATATCGCAACAATTTCCACATAAATTTTTTACATTGAAAAAAAATCTGTTACTGATAATTAACAACCTTTTCAAGAACCGGTTGTGATAGTTCATCGTTATATCCTTTAGATCAAGAAAGAGATCGGTCAGACTACTGGTCTGAGATGAATTGAACACACACTGATCTTCGATATAATGTTTGATGATATCATAGAAATCTGCGAAGAACAGAACCAATGAAAAAAGTAAATCAAAAGACCTATTAAAAAATTATCTAAATTGAAATACATATTTCTTATAACCCTGACTTTTAAAAACAATTATTTTCAAATGTTACAAATGCATATTGATTATTAGAATTGCTACAATTAATCATTGTTCATAAATATACCTGTGATCCGGTCGAGTTTTTTATATTTATATTTGATATTGGCAAGCTCTTCGTCCACCGATTCCGACTGCATGACGATCGCTATTCTTGTTGAATACCAACTCAAGAAAACATCTTTGGCTTTTTCCAATAATTGAACGCGCTCTGGTATCAACATTACCTATAAAAAACAAATCTTCAAAATAGCAAAATTACTAAAGTAGAAGAAAATGATCACATAATAAAGACTTACCCTAAAAGTATCTACTGCAAAAGTATTTGGAAAAATTTTGTAAGATCTCATTGAATAAAAAACGATTATATCTGATACCAATGCAATTAAAAAAACCAAAAAACAAACAAAATGCCGAAAACCAAAATGAAAAAAGCTTTTTTTACCTTCGACAGAACTGCGTTCGCATTTTGCAAATTGAAAATAACATTCTCTGGAACCAAATCACTTTCATCCGCATTTTGAATTAGAGTGACATTATCATACCAAGCTCGGCGTGCCTAAGAAATAACTCATTTCATTATTCAATCCTTTTTGGTAGTTGATCCATAAAATTTCTTATCTGAAACAATTTCTTAAAAAAAATTTCTACATCGCACCATAATGATATCTGATATTACTGTTGCTCTATTATCGCCTTTATCAAAAACTGCAATTGAATCAAATTCTTTTGCGATATCTGTTGGCTGAGAATCAGCGACAAATCTGAGACGATCTCGAAGCTCAGAACACATACGCGCAGAAGATTTTAAAATAGTTTCCGATCTAAATTTGACTTGAATTTTGTTTATGGTTGTAATGTCTCATAATTTATTTCATCAATTTTTTGGTAACATTCTTCCAAGAAATTTCTCTGATCTTCAGTGCAAAATATTCTGTGCAGCGGCAAAAAAATACTCTTTCAGACGCTCGATTTCATTTCGACTTTCATCTAATTTACATTGTAATTCGGTTACTCTCGCATTTACTGCTTCAACTAGTTCCTGAAACCAAACAATTAATAAAAACACCTCACATTATCTCACTTTAACAAGATTCCTGTAAATAAGTATTTACATAATTTGAATTATAAAAAAATCTACAAAGTTAGGGCAAAATTCGTCCACAAAAAAAAACAAACTTTTGTGGGCTCCGTTCTTAAATTTATCCAAGACACAAGGTCCGCCGTGGTCCATGGACCAGAGAATGATGGCAACACTATCTGCAAAAGAAAATCTTCAAGATCCCAAATGAGAAATAATGGTGCCTATGTAATCTGATCTGTTGCAAATTTCATAACGTAAGTTAACTTATGAATTTTGAAAACCAAATACCTCTTCATGCATATCGGATATTATTAATACGCCAATATGTAATATAACCCAAATTCCTCCTGCAAAATTAACTAATTCATTTCTCTACACTGCAATGATGTAATGAAATAACACTCTTGCACATCTCAAATTGCACAAATTCTCCAAAAAATTGCCAATGATCTGCTAATTTTCAAAAAGAAACGATTATGCATATTTGATAATAAAAAAATGGTATTAACCAAAAATTGTTACATAAAACTGATACATAAATAGAAAATTTATCGATATACATAAGGCATATTTTAACATACTTTAACATGGTAAGACAAATGACAATTATAATAATTTTGATAATAGTAACAATAATAATGATAATGACAATAATAATACATCAATTTAGATGAATATACAAACCCTTCGATAACAAATGGCACTGATTTTCTGAACGCCCATGGGGCGAAACTTACTTACAGGCCTTTCCAGTCACCACTGAAAAACTCTTATCATTAAAGAGCGTTATGAGAACCAGTATTTTTGATAGATTTGTACAAATGTCAGATAATATATCCACAAAAAAGTTATTCTGGGTTGGTAAGAGATAATATAGCAGAATGCCATGAAAAACGTAACAACAACTAATTTCGAGAGCAAATAAAAATAGACAATGCAATCGTTATCCCTCTTCCTCTACGGCTAGTTTGGAAAATTAATTGGAACATCTACAGATTCAAAGGAAAGTTCGGAGAATACTCGAATGATTTTTTGTTATAAATTTTTCTCCCAACAAAACCAAAATATCTGACATTAATCACTCCAAATTATTATATTATAAAAATAAAGAAAAATAAAAGGAAAATAAAGAAGTGAAGAGAAATGAACGCGAAAAAAGAATGGAATCACAAACAAAAAAATAGCTGATCATCAGGCAGGAAATAATTGTATGAATGCCCAACAGACTAACGTTACATCAGCCATATTGAAAATGGCTTTGAATATTAGGTAGAAAATAAGGCCAAAAATTATACGCTTCCCATCTTCATTCATGCAATAACCTCAATTTTCCAGACAATAGTAATAATAAATTATTTTCATCAATTCGGGTAAACAAGAAAAAAATTCGAAAAACGAATTCGACCGGAAATGCTACGAACTGTAATTTAGAAACCTTCATTATTTTTGGATAATCTAAATATAACTTAAGTCTTAAAAATATATTATGAAAATTTTACATTGTAATCCATTCTTCAGTTGAAATATTATGAATTATACAAAAAATTATGAGCAAAGGCCTAAATTTCAGTGTTATAAACACCACAAAAAAAGATTATACAGATGATGATAGATCAAAAACTTTTAAAACTTCTGATGAAGCTATTTTATGAGCTTGTGTGCTGAAAGTAATATTCATTTGCTTCAGGAGGCAATTTCCAACCGCTTGCTCCTAATTCCAATAAAAGCAGAATCATCTTCCGAGCCCATGGTTCTTGAACCTGAATTTTTTGATACCCAAGTATAATTAAATTTCATTTAATCTCGAACAGCAAAATGCGAACAAAGACCCACTGTTTACCTTACTTTTATCCTTAAAAAAGTAAATAAAAAAAGAAATAAAATAGTTGGTAAAGAATGATGTTCAACCTCAACAAAAGCATCACGAATTAAATCCTTTAATACTGCAAGTTTCTCTGGACACTGACGCTCTAGATCGTAGCCAGCGCTTAGCAAACACCCAATTAAACTTTCTAACTGAAAATAAAGAGTAATCTTGCTCTAATTTAATTAATTAATAAAAAACTAATTAAAAGTATAACGAAATATGAAAAAAATGTCGATAGTTTAGATATTCAACGAAGAAAGCCGAACTAATCTATAAAGATCCAAATAAACAAATATATCCTCCTCAGTAGAATGGACTCAACATTAGTTGAACAATAACTTAATATGCAAACCTCCTCGATTTTGAGCGTGTCAAGTACAGGTGCTTTTAACATATAATCAAATATTTGAAATACAAGATCGACCAATTCGCCTGAAATTTCCAAATAAAAAATAATTGTCTTGGACGAACCCTTTTTAATCAAAAATTTTTTAAAAAATCGTTGAAAAAGATTATAGTAAATTCACAGTAAATTCATAAATATACCCTCATAAACGTATCCAATATTAGTATACAAATCGGAAACGAAATTAAGGAAGGCAATCCATATGCGAAAATGGTCCGCTCGAAGACGTTCACGGCACTCGAAATAATGCATTAATGCAGCGATAGTGCCCTACAATTTATTAAAACATTTAGTCATAAAAATACAACAACACTTAAGCAAACTTAACTAAACTTGTTTGTTTTGCTTTTCAATTTAGTTCTGGGCACTCTCTTTCAAGAGAAAATCCATTATCCATTACTTGTACCGCAAGATACACAATTTGATAAGTACATTTCACGCTCATCACAAATCTAACATTACTTTCCACTAATCAAATAATAATGAAGCGGGAACCAATCTTTAAATGCACATTTTCCACCATATGAAATAATAAACCTCTGTTTATAAAAATATAAAATCTTAAAAAATAGCATCATATAAATATGAATTAACAATCGTTCACTTGGTAAAATATACGAGCTGCACTGCTCTCTAGCAACTGCGCAGCTATACGTGCTACGGTCTTACTAGCTTGCCGATTTTCCTCGATCGACAAATGAACAAGCATTTGACCAACGCTTTCACCAATACCATCACCACTAAAATTACCTGAAATCTAAGAATCTGAAAACTGAACTGAAAATTTTAAGAAACATCCAGATATAGAAGAAAATTTTAGATAAAGAGCAACAGATAAATAAATGTTTAATAATACTAATAATTCCATAAGAACACAAAATTACAGATTATATCAAACAATAGATATTTCTTAATAGATAACACAAAGATTGAGAAAAACAAATTCATTGAAACCAGCAGAATTTTTACTTTTAATGATAAGTTTTCCACCTGCCAGAAGCCCAATGTCTGAATTGACAAACTAACAGGCAACTCTCCAAGATATAAGAATCCGAATACCAATATAAACTATCAACTACACAAATATTTTAAAATGTCAATGAATAAAAAGCTTTGAAATATCGTACTTATAACTTATATCTTACATAAAATATTTTAAAATATCTTACTTGAAATAAATTGCTCAATAACTGAATTCTCTTTGCCAAAATCGAGTTTCCTTAAGTTTGCAGCAAGGTCCTCGATTTCTTTTGTCGTCAACGTTTTACGTTTTGCTGATGTGCTATCTTTATGTGCCGAAGAAATATTTTTATTTGTGTCTTTTTTAACTCGATCATTACCATCCGATGATGCGAACGCATTCAATCCATTAAATGAATCCTTAGATGAGAATGAATTACGATTTGTTGATCGCTTCATCTTTTTCGTCGAATCTATGAGGTTTTTTCGAGCGCTATGCGATCGTTCTGATGTCTGAATAATGAATATTTATACATCTGAGGAAACACTTGCTGACAGAGTCAACAGCTGTGCTTGACCATCAACACGCTTGAAAATACGAAAACAAATATATTAATTACATATCATTAAAAAGTCGCTAAAAAGCAATTCAGTCATCTCTTAGTTAACGAGCCAAGACAAACGAATAGAATTTCATTTCAATTAAACACTAAGGCAACTTTGCCAATAATTTTCTAGATAAAAATAATACTAAAGATGAAATCAAAAGTCTACACGCTACACATAAGCGTTTTTATTTAAGTGGTTTTACAAACAAAATATGGTTTAAAAACAGAAATTGAATGATGGATATTCCAAAAGACAATAGAAATTGAAAAAAAATTGCCGCGTGTATCGCCATAAACCAACAAAACTCAAACTAAAAAAATTAAACTCAAAAATTCAGAAGCAACAACTCTTCAGAATGGATGTCAATATAACAGATACTATAGAAAAAAAGAGTGGAGGGGGGGGGGGGGGGGGGGGGGAGAAGAGGGGAAAAGCTATAAAATTTGTAAACAAGAATTTAAATAAATAATAAAAAATATTGCAAGTATTTAATCACCTGCGAAGAGGCAGTTGATTCATTACTTAGAGCGCTATCCGCACGTGAAAGGTTTACAAACTCATGCTCTTCAGCACCACTTTTTGTACATCGATCCATCGATGTATTCCACTGGGTACTACGTTGCTGCTTGTTATTGTTGATAATTCTATTGTTATTGTTGCCGTTGCTACTGTTGTTGGGGCCATCTTCCTCTTTATTTACTATACCTTTAAAATATGCTTTACCAGTAACATCGCTATACCAGAAAAATAGCGGATCACGCCAAAAAATGGCAAAAACAAAACACCCATGGCAATCTATTGAATATTTATATTTATAACACAAAACATAAATTTTATAAAAAATGAAAGTCATTTCATTTCATCATTACCATCACCTAAAAAATGCAATGATACCATGCCCTTCATCTTTTGTTCACTTTTACGCATGGTTTATGATAAGTATTTTGAGCTGAGAGAAACGAGCAGATATCTAAGAAATTATTTCTGAACTATCGGAACTGATTATCAGAATAATATATAAATGAATCTGAATCGAAAATGTGATATATTCTTTTCTTTAAATGATACCTTGATATTTTCACGGAAAAAATTCAACAAGGCATTCACGATAAAAAAATTGCACTTCGGCTAATCTTTTCTACGAAATCAATCGCTCAATCAAAAGCAATTCTTTTAGATCATGATTACTTATGATATAGAATATGAAGAATGAATATAGCAATTTTTTCAACAATTTCTATTTACTCAATACATTTCAACAAAAAATTTATATCGCTATCTGATTGTTATCAGATTGTAATTGTCAGAAAATGAACTTTAAACGACAAGATAGTTCAAAGATACTTATCGGCCTTTCTTTACCTTCACCCATTTCCAAACAAAATAACTAAATGCTTAATTTGGTCATAATTTCAGCTACAAATCCTTATATATTTTAATCAAAAAATAGTTAAAATTTGAAGAACCAGCTAATATAGCAATTACAGAAGTGATGGACTGCTCTTCCAGACTTTAATACTTCATGAATTCAGTATTACCTTGATCTTTTTTAAACAACATTAACCATTTAGTTAGTTCAAATGGCCACTAGAAAAAAACAATTCCACCATTTGAGGGCATAAGGTATGAACAGAAAGTGTGCACTTAAATTCTCAGCAGCCAACCGAAATAACATAAGATGAGCGCAGTTTTAATAACAACTTTATTTCCTAGCAAGAGAATGGATGGAAATAATACTTGTCCACAGTCGACACAACATACAACTCATAGAGAATTGAGAAGAAAATAAATCAGAGCTAAACCTACTAAGATCCCTACAACTTTTAGATCAAAACATCAGAAACTCACGCATATTATTACTCTATTATCATATTATCTCTAGCAAAAATAAAAAAACTATCACCATTTACCACTTTAAAAAAAAAAATAAACCGTTGGTTTCCTTTTGATGATTGGTGTCTTTCTTGAACTGCTTTGCACCGGCAGTTACATTCGGTTTCGTATTCGTTGCATCTTCGCTATTTCTAAGCCCTGTTCAAATTTATTTATTAAATTCACTTAAAAATTTCACAAATTTCTTTACCATCGAAAACCACTGCTTACGTAAATCGTATAATTTATAATTCTATCAGTTTCCCCGTCGACATTCCGGTGAACAATTCTCTTTTAGACAATTGCTTAATTATATTTGATTCCTTCTAAATCTTGTGAAATCTTAACTGACACGGAATAGGGCAAACATCGTCTAATTAAATTTATACAAAAATCAAAAATGACCATTAATTCCATATTTTTTCATATTCCTTCGCTCTTCAGTGTTTCAGACAATTTCGTTATTTAACATAAGCGATAATAAATTATCCATTAATTTTTATACTTCTAGTAAAACGACACCATTTGTCTTCGCTCTTAGACACCCCGTCGCCGACCAAGGGCACTCCCTTTTAACTTTCCCTACCAATTGCCTTCTCTCATCTTTCATTATATCTTTGACAGAAAAAGGAACGGAGAAAATGGCGCTTTTACAAATTAGTCTTATGGTCGTGCTAGATAACCGAGAAATGCATCAGTATTAAAATTATAAAGTTAAACTGGTACCATGAGGAATAGTTATAATATTCCACAAGATTTGTACAAATTGCAATAAGGAATAAATGATAAGTGGCAGCTGAGGAATGGCCTCCTTGGGCAAAAGCTTAAGCGCTGATAATCAGCGGAAAAATACTGTTAGAAAAAACAAATCAAATAGACCAAATCAAAAAATACTGTTAGAAAAAACAAATTAAATAGTATAAATCAAAAATAAAAAAGTCATTACCAGGAGGACGATAAATCTGTAATGCGGGACGGTTTGAGGGTTTTTTGAATCGTCGTTCCCCACCATTACTATTGCTTGTCACAGAGCTATTATTACTATTATTATTATCAATAATATCAGCCATTTTTAAAAGGAATAATTTTCACAATTACAGTTCTTCCAAATCGTTTCGTTTCAATACCAAAAACCTTTTTCCAACCCTATAAAAAATTAATTTATTCAAATTGTATTTCAATCATTTCGACGATGAAATTGCGAAAAATACTAATCCGTTTCACCGCCATTTAACGGTAACCATCGTTCACTCTCCAAGTACCATAGAGCCTCATGGTGACAATAACTTTCTTCGCTATAATTTTACTGGCAATTCCCATTTAAGCACCAACTATCCTCCCAAGTACCTGTGGTTTCTCCCTTTGTTTCCAGCAATCCTTCTGTGAATGCTAGCAATTTCTTGCTCCTCTTCCGCCCTCTCCTCACCAAACAAATCTCTCCTTTGTCACCCATACCAGTCTTCTCCTATAACTAAAAATTCCAAAACCAATTCATTATTTCTTTTTCTTTTCCCTGCAAATTTCCCGTGTTCTTTTCATTTTCTTCTAACTGTCTAAATGTGAAAACCCAATTTCATAACAATAAACTCGACAGATGATCTATGAACACGTTTGATGCAAATAACAAAACTTGATCTAGTTTAATCTAAACTAAAATAGATGATCTCGGTTAACGTTAAGAAATATATATTTATTATAAAATGAGAAAAATGCAATGTTTAAATTTTCTGACGTTAATTAACATTAATTTTGTGAAAAAAAAGATGAAGAGGAAATAAAAGAAATTCAATAAAAGTTAGCGCTACCAATTTCCGAGAATTCGAGGTATAAAAAAACGAAATAAAAACATTTTCTTTGATAAGAAGGAAATAATTCAAGTCAACAACAATCGAGCTAATTCGTTAAACAGTTTAAGTCGGAGGGCTAGAAAGGTTAGCTCGAGCTAGAATAGTTGGAGCTAGAATTCAAAAAAATTTCCCCAGTTAAACGCTCAGAAAAATGAATGACTAGCAGAGAATAAAAAGAATTCACAAGAGAGAGCTCATTCACACTGGTGAAAATTAGAAGAAACAAAGAAAACTTTGTAACACAATTGAATAGCTCGGCTGTATATTCCGATTAAGTGGACCGGGCCGTAAACTCTCTCTCGTTTTTTTCAAAATTTTGCCCTGCATTATTATATTTTTCCTTGTTTCGTGTTCGCCTCTTTTATTTTCACGGAACTCGGCGCAAAATCAGGATGGGTCATGGGAGGAGATAAGGAGAAGTAAAAGTGTGAGCGGCGAGGTCATGGAAGATGGGAATGAGCGGAAGGAAAAGTCTGAATGACTCTTACATGAATTTTTTTGGTAAAAAAATTTTTATATCACCAGTTATAAAAATTATAGACAGCTTAAAATACGGTTATATATTGAATTAAGATGAAGATGGAAAGATAATTCTTAAAAAAACACTAAATGTGGCGAATTCAGTACTTATTAAAAGTTTATTACAAGTCGGTCAGTTAGTAGTTAGATGGGGCGTCGTCTTTATGGTCTACTCAGCTATTCTCCAACGATAAGTGGACCGAAGGCAAAAAGAAACTTTAATTTATAATTTAATTGCTAATCATAATTGCTAATCTATTATTTCGCTTAAAAGTTGAGAATTTTAAGTGAATAAAATGAGTTGTAAAGAGAGAAAAGATCCGTATTTGAATGGTTTTCATAATTTTGACTGTTACATTTTAAAGGGGCAATGAATATTAAATCAGTGAATATGAGCAACGAAAAGGTTAATCAGAGTGGGAAGTACCACAGGATAAGGCGTCGAATGGCTTTAATTTTGATAGCTGGCACAGCTGTTATATGTCGTTAAGTAAACATATTCTTGAATTTCGGTGTTGAAAAATTGGACATTTTTGTTTGTTTTATTTTTTTCTTTATTTGCGAAATTTTTGTTGAATTCTTCGTACGTTGTGATAATATGATAATGCGAAAATTTTTAATTAGAACTTTTGATAATCAAGTACTGAAAAAAGCCCGCATGATTCGCCAAAACATTGAAAATTTTGTTAAAAGATTGAATTATTTATCGCAATTTTTTAAAACCATTAATATTTTTGCGTTTATAAACGCTTAATGAAAACAAAATATCAAAATGTAAAGGTGAAAAGAATTTTTCACAGATGGCAAGTAGGAAAGCTGATGAATCAAAGCAATCGAAAGAAACATTGCTAATTGTCTATGGAACTGAAACTGGTACTGGACAAGATATAGCTGAATGTTTATGGCGTGATGCTGTATCGAGAAATATTGAAACAAGAATTATGTCATTAGCTGATTATAACATTCAGGTTTTTTTAGATATTTTAAATATTTTTAATTTGAATATTTCAATTTTTTTGTTTTTTAAGCATTTCACATCGAATATGAATATGCTTATAAAAATTCTGCATTTTTTTCAATGGTTTTTTCCGAAATAGTGTTTTACTGAAACGATTTACTGTTATACTAAAATAAATTTTTAAAATTATTGGATGTTTATTGGAGGTACTCTTGAGTATTTTCGTTCCAAATTTTTTCAGGAATTAAATTTAGAATATTGTGTAGTGATGGTAATTGCAACAAGTGGACATGGTGAAATGCCTATGGATTTTCGTAATAATTGGAAATTGATGTGTCGCAAAGCTTTACCTGATGACTGGCTATCAAATGTTTGTATTTTTATATCTAAAATTGTTTGAAAGTAATGTCAAAATCTGTTATGGGTTAGTTTAAAGGTCCATTCTTTAGAAAGATTGACAAACCGAGTATATGAAAATACAGTTTTTTGAATTTGAAGGTTATTTTTCGGCATATGGAGATTATGAGGAAATATATTATTAAATTTTTGATTTTGTCGATCATTTATAGGTGTTTTTTGCTGTTTTGGGCCTTGGCGATACTTCTTATCCAAAATACAATTTTGCTGGCAAAAAGTTGTTCAGAAGGTTTTTGAGTTTTAAATTTTTGTTGCATTTTTTACCACTAGTTTTTTTACTGATCATGTTTTTTTATGAATATTGTTCACCAAATATAAAATTTCTTTGTAAATTTAAATAGATTATTTCTCCTTTTAGTTTTAGTTTGGTTTAGGGACATTAGTATCATATCGTATTCGTTGAAAATTCGAAAAATTTTAGGATGTGCGGTTTAAGTGCTGAGCCATTAATTGATCTGGCATTAGCTGATGACCAACATGAATGCGGTGTTTACACTGTATTCGAGAATTTTCGAAGTGTTTTATTTAAAGAAATTTTTCAACGAAATTTGTTCCCCGTAAGTTTTGAAATCAATTGTTTTTATTTTAATGTTATATTTAGCTTTAGTTCATAATACATCGTGTGTTATATAAATCCAAGCAAATCGCAGAAATTTTTATCGATTAGGATTAAACTTCTATGAATAAGTAAGTATAGATAATTCTTTCAGAAAATGAAATCAGATATTGTATCCACCAAATTTCCATCTCGTTTTTCTATCAGGTCGATCAATGATGGTGATCAAGAGAACAGAAATTTAAGTGAGGTGATTGCATCTTCACACGATTTCATCAATGTCACGATTGTTAATAATCAACGGGTGACATCTACTGATCATTTTCAGGTTATTACCTATTTGTTGGCTCATTTATTTGTCTTTTCGAAAGAGTTGGAAAAGAATTGGAAAAAAGCATTAATTTTTTCTGCTTTGAAAATTTCATAAATGAACTTACAATTTTATTTATTTCTAGGACACACGTCTAATAGAAATCGAATGTTGGCCTTCAATGAGGTTTTTTTCATCTAAATATAATAAAATAGTTAATACTTATTTGTTATTTATTGGTAGTTTGTTGACATTGAAATTTATTGTATGTTAGTTATTGTTGAAAATTTATAGTGAATAGGAAATTTTCGTTATCATTTTACATACAGTTAAGAGTGGAAATTGGTATCTAGATCAGTTGTTTCTTTATGCTATCAATGTGAAATGGAAAAGAGAAAATTCGAGGATCTTATTTTGAAAAATTTTTTATTTTCATCATTTTCATTAAAGCTCTGAAATTTCTTTTATTTTTTAAATTTTTTATTTTATTTTAATGTTATATTTAGCTTTATTTTATTTTATTTAAATTTATTCTAGTTATATGCCTGGAGATGCTTTAATGGTCTGCCCTTGTAATTTGGAAGAATCGTATAATATTGCGGTGGAAGCATTGGGATATGATGAAGGAACCTTAGACGAATTATTTTTCGTTCAGCCTAAGATACCGAATATTGTCTCACATCCATCTGAAATATTTGAAGGTTTTTTTTGACTAAGCGGAAATTTTTGCTTCAATTTATATGATTTGCAGATATAAAGTGTTAACTTCTATTCTTTCTTTCTAAATTTTTTAATTTTTCTTGAAGTTCCACTCTTAGTTGTTTTTTATTTGGGTCCAACAACTTTGCGAACGTGCCTTCAGCGATATTTCGACCTTCAAATGGTTCCTCGAAAATCATTTTTCCAGTTGTTATCTTTTATCTCGGAGAATGGTATGGAAAAAGAACGATTAATAGAATTTTCATCACTGGAAGGATATGTATATGTTTTTTTCCAGTTCATATTTTATGAAAGGAATAAGCATCGGTTTTTGAAAACTGTTTTAAATTTGTTTGAAATTAATTTGAGTTTTATTGCATAGTTTCTAGTTTGAACGCTTCGCGTGTTATGGATTTTTTTTGCGTTTAAACAAACATTTAAACTGTGTAAAAATTCATGTGAACGTCAAATAAATGTTCTTTCAGTCATTTCCTCTTCAAGGATTTCCATATCTGATCTCCTAAGAAAATTTTAGATTATTTTCAGGATGATTATTTAGACTATTGCTTCAGACCAAAACGTACTGTTGCAGAGACGCTACGAGATTTCGGCCATACTGCAAAACGCATCTCTCGCGAAAGGCTGTTCGACCTTTTAGAGCCAATTCGACCGAGAGCTTATAGTATTGCATCACATCCGTCTGTCCATTCAACTTTGCAGATTTTGGTGGCTAAGGTATTTTATATAGTACTGATTTATTTTACATTCTACAAAAATGTCTTGATATTTTTCGATTTTTCACGAAATATTTCTTTTGGTTGATTCTAGATTTTCATTAGGTAAAAATGTGGAGTTTTTTTCAATTGTCTGACGATTTTTTTATTTTTTTATTTTTGATTTATTTATAAACTCAATAATACTTTTTCTATTTGATCTATTCTGAAGGTCCAGTTTGAAACAAAGTATATGGTGACGCCTCGTCGCGGTCTCTGCAGTACCTATCTGTCGAATGTCAAGGAGAACGATAAGATTTTGGCAGCCATTCGGAAAGGAACACTGAGGTTTAGTTTGGCATAGTAAGCAAAATTTATGAATTCATTTGACAAGTGAAAAAGAGGATTCTTTGGTAATAATAATAAAACTTATAATAGTACTAATATAATAGTAAAACTTTTACGTCTTCCACTATCCTCGTTAGCTAATTTAGCTGATTAGTTGAAAACATTGAAAACACTGGTCATTCGTATCTATTCATTATTTTTTAATATACAATCAAAATTTTATATTGTGTCAATCTATAATGTAAATTTCATGTATTTCGAGTATATAAATATGGACAAATTTTTTGTGGAAAATTTCTACAATAAAATAAATTTCTACAATAAAATGTAAAATGATTTGACTGAGAAAAAAATGGTCTGTGGCTTAGGTATTATTTAATGATGCACAATTTTTATTCTTTCTTTATATGAATGAAATCACTTTTGTTCAACGAATATTTTCCAGATTACCCGGTCCATCAAGTTCGTTTATTGGAATTGGAACTGGGACCGGAGTAGCAGCACTACGTTCATTTTTATTTTGGTCAGTGGTTTTTCATTCTTAATACTTTCTTCAATGCTGAAACAATATAATCATTTTAACAAAATTTCCAAAATTTTCATTCATCTTTTCAACTTTTCCACTGTATATAGTATGTCGATTCAAAGATATATAACTGACTTATAGTTTTGAAAAAGACAAAAAAGAATCTTTATTGATTTTTGGTTGTCGAGGACCAAATAAAGATTTCTATTTTGCGAATGATTGGCATATCTTGAAAAATACTCGACTTATCACCGCCTTCAGTAGAGAAGAGAACAAAAAAAAAGTTATTTTTTCATCTCAAAATATTTCGAAAATTTTTTAACGTTTGTGACGACATCAGACCTATCTTATCATATCAGGAAATCAAGGAACAAATTCCTATAAATAACCTACAACTTTGGGTGTTATAAAATATTTTGTTTTTTGTTTTTTAGCAGTATGTGCAACACAAAATCGACGAATACGCTAGCTATATATGGGATCTTATAGAAAAAAAAAATGGTTAGTCTTGATTACCATTACTATTCCTATTTGCAAATTGGATTAAATGAACATATTTAAGAAAAATATATTCCTGTTGCTTTCAATAATGAAGAGAGGCACATATGGTATTTATGTGAGGCCCTAATATATTTTTTAAGAGCTGCTAATTTTTAATTTAATTTCAACATTTTTTATATAAAATGAAGTAATTGTAGGGAGCATATTGATTGCTGGAAGAGTGGGTGATATGCCAAAAGAAGTTCTTGACGTTCTCCAGAAAATCGCCTCTGAACGGAATTATGATGGTGAAAAATTTGTTGCTGAACTGGAATCTAAGGGAAGAATTCAATATGAAGTTTGGAGTTAGAAACATTTAACGTATGTTCTTAATCAAATAATATATTCTTCACATTCCTAGCACCATCTACGTGCTTTTGGATTCGGAGCAAGGAATAAGGTTGAATTTTAATCAGTATTTTGTTGATTAGAAATAAATGATTTATCGAATTACCAATAGTATGCTCATATGTAATGACAGCTTTACTCAGTTATTTTATGCGAAAGAATAAGTTATTATAGCGTAAGAAATAATAAAACACATCTCCATGTGACTGGCACTGGCCTCAAACATAAGACAATAATCTCTCATGTACCACAGGTTTTATCACTAAAAGTGCATCGCGGTTTTATTTTAACCGGATATCTGTAAATTTATAGTTTTGAAAAGGAAATTAAATTCAATAGATACAATAGGCCGGAACGGTCCTGTGAACATTAAGAAAGAAACAGCAAAAATAAAACCAGATATCTTCTAGGTTTTCATCTCTGAAAAAAGAATGGGATATTATAGTGATTTACAAATGTCCTATCTTGATTTTGCGTAGAGCATAATCATTTTGTTCTTTTAAACCAGTTCTTACAGAAACACAATGTTCTAAAAACAAGCCTAATTAACTATTTGGAACCACATAATCCGATACCGCTATATTTTCGTAAAATCTCTACTATTAAATGACAAAGCAATTTAAATTCAAATAATACTGGGAAAAAGCCAACAGTTGAAATTCTTGAGAGGTATAAATTAGAAAACAATAGATAGAAGAGGTATTCAAATTAACGGAGGCTCAAATATCGGAAAACAGTGGAAAAAAATTTGAAGAATTGCAGAGACAAAATGTAATAAAGGATTAAAAGTGGGATTAAAATTGAATGACTAATTCAATGGGAATGATGGGATGCTAGAAAGGCTGGGAGTATAGCTCCCACAATAATTGCAAGCAGTTCTTTTACAGTGAATACAGAATGCACAACCGATAAGTTACCAATAATTTCACCCTGATTAAGTTGATGATGCGAATGACTATTCGAATTCAGCTGCAAAAAAAATCACAAAATTACAATAACATTTGATCTCAAAATTATTCAGAGAATTAATGTTAAAAATGAATATCTCATTAATTTGAAAAAAAAAGTTTATTTACCAATTCAGGCAAAATGTGTACAGTAGCAACGTAAAGAAATGTGCCGCCTGAGAATAACATTAAAATCCCTGTTGTAAAACTTAAAGAAGAGGATTGTTGACCAACCTGGAATGAAAACATGAAAATAGCAAGTTAAACACATCACTTCTATCAATTAATCTTAGAGTAATTTATGCACTAATGGTATAGAACAAGTTTCCTTCCTTTCACTGCATATGGGATAAAGCTTTAAAAGCTTATTTTAGTTAATATTTACTAAATATAATAACTAAATTTTAGTTACTATTTACTAAAAAAGATATTTTGAAATTTGCGAAAAAAATTTGCGAAATTCTAATTTGAATTGTTCGAAACGTTTTGATTACAAAAATAATTGCACAGAAAATTTTAAAATCTTACCAGAAGAAGAATGTAAAAAGTAACAATAGCAGTAATAGGCGCAGCCAATGAAAATGCTAGCAAATGTCGTCGAACACGAAACCGTTCGAAACCTTCGACCAAAAGAAAACTTACTAAACCAAAAGCAGCCGGAGCCTGAAAGAAGCTAAAACTTGGAATTAAATTTTACTTAATAACATAAAAAACAATAAAGAAGAAAGAAATATTACTAGATGACTGGAGCTAAACAGATCAGCTCCTAATTCCCAGAGATGAAGGGATATATTGCGACAATTATCGAGGAATCACCTTACTAGACGTCTCAGCGAAAATTTTTGCTTCCCTTTTTCTCAATGGACTTATGGCTAGATTTGTAGAGTTACGGGACAGCAGGATGCGCCCTAATCAAGCTGGATTCAGATCGAGGCGGGGTTGTGTTGACGAGATATTCACGTTAAGAAGGATATTGGAACATCGATTCAAATATCTGCAACCCATCATTACTCGTCTCTCGATCGCATCGACTTTGCAACTACCTTCAATTGATAGAACGGCGCTTTGGAGGGTGATGGAACACGAAACCGTTCCAGAGAAGATCATTCGACTCATTAAAGGCATTTAATAAGCGCACGTCGGCGCTGCTTTGTATATATGGGGAGCTGACAGACTCCATCGAAATAAGAACTGGTGTCCATCAGAGCTGTGTCCTTTCTCCTACAGTATTTAACAATGCGATAAACTGTATAATGGACACCGCTCAAGAGGTGCCTAAATCAGTCCAGAAAATCGTATCACAGTATCACAGTTCTTGGATACGCTGATGATGTAGTCCTTTTTGCTAATAGTTATGGCGAAATGCAATCAATCCTAAACTGCAGCGAGAATCGATCGGACTCAGGGTCAATGTAAATAAAACGAAAGTCTTTCGTCTTATTTACAAAAAGCTGATAAAATGCCTCTTTTTATAAATTCATTGCTGGTTGAGGAAGTGTTCGATTATTTTAAATACCTTGAATCCACTCTAATATCAAGCAAAAAGGAAATTTACAACTCGGATAATGGCAGCTAGAAATGCGTTCTTCCGGTTGATGAAACTTTTATGGAGCCCTTGCGAAATCGCCATAAAAACGAAAGCATCTATTTGGCCACGATTCGATCTTGCTACATTACTGCAAGACATGAGAGGATATTAAGTTATCTTTGACCATTTATGTATATTTAAGGTATATTTTACGGTTTCGCCGAGCGAATAAAATCTCACATGATCGCATCCATTCATCCTTCGTTCAAATACCACTTGTATTGACAGCCATCACACAGCCTTTGCTGGTTAGGGCATGTTCTTCGTCACCCACCACAAGAATAGACACATATTTCGTTAGTCGCTAAACCCGTGGTGAATGGCATCAAAATCGAGATGGACCAATCAAGACCTGGACTGACACGATCAGGGAATATTTTGAATGTATAGGTGGACCAGCAATATATGAATTCAAACGATAGAAAAAGGAATGGCTTACATTGCTCCTAACGATGGCAACAGATCGCATACCTTGGAAACGTCGTACTCTTGTAGCCAGTGGAGCCAGCCTAACCGTTAATGGTAGAGCTGTTAGAAGAATAAAATAATAAAGATTTTCTTTTTGTCCTTTTTCATCGTTTTTTTTTCATAAAAATATTGAGGAAGTTTTAATCTTTTTAAAAAGCACCTTGTGCAACATTATTGCTAAGAATATAATGAACTGTACATTGCTACGACTTGCCATTGAAACACTGCCTAATGCAACTCCATCAGCTATAAAAAATTTTATGCAAATTATTTAAAAACAACTTTTGCAAAAGTAATTTCAATAAATTAACATTAATTTGAAAATGACTTACCGGCAGCATGAACGATCAAACCAACTGTGGCAGTTAATTTATATCTAGATTTCTCACCTCCTAGAAATGGAATATCGTTTTTTAAAACATGGCATAGCAAAAAATGTTTTCGCAACAAAAATACTTTAAAAGTACTTGACGAACAAGGCTAAGGAATGACGATCGACAGCTGCCTTTTGTATGGAAAGGATTCAAAATTACTGGACAGAAAATAGTGAAATAGATATGCAAAATTACTATAATCTAACTGAATTTGCAATAAAAACCTGTCTACATGATAAATACAAAGCTGAACCTGTTGAAGTTACAATACGAGTTGCTTGGTCAATAAGTAGCATGAAAATGAAACCAACAACAAGCGATAAACCCACTGATTTATGAATAACGCTATGATTGCCATCGTGGCCGTGCATCTTGTCATTCAAGTCAATAGTTCTTGAATTCACTGAAATAATACAGTGGTCAAACTGAATTTAAGCAATAAATTTCATGAATAACGATAATTTCAATCACATATACCCAGCTTTTTGCTTCTGGCAAAAAAATCTCAAGAAAACTGGGAAACATTAATTTTTCTATTTCCAGTGCAGTATTTCTAGAACAGCGATACCTTTTCACATACTTCTTATTCTCGAAATTTTTGTACAAGCAAGAACAATTATTAACAATACTTTTATTTTGTCGAGATTCATCGTATTGCTGCAATATTCTCGACATATTTTTCATATTATTTGAACCAGGTCTATAAGCAAAATTAATTTTGCTCAAAAAATTTTTAGAAATTTTTAGTAAATTTATTAAATATTTATTAAATTTATAACAAAAAGAACTTGACTTTTCAAACTCCTCTAATCAAACAAATATTTTCGAAGTTGGGGGCAATTTAACTTTCAAAAAAATTATTAATTAATTTTAAAATATTAAATTTTAGAATTTAATATTTTAAATTTTAAAATTTTAAAATTCTTTGCTGAGATATGGTGGACAAGACATCGAAAAATGCATCAATATATCATACAACTCTAGTAAATGTGACATATATTGTTTGCTTATTCTTAGCTATAAGACTGTAAGTTGAAAATAAAGCATATATGAGACAAATTGTTCAAAAAAGAATCAGTAAAGTTACACCTAAGGTTGATACTGCTTCTATCCATTGCTTGGTCATTAATATAAGGATTTTTCATTACATCAGAAGCAGAATGACGACCTATTGAATCAAAATCCGCCAATTCTAAATTTATAATCAAGAATAAGAAAGAAATATTTGCAGTTTACGCAGTCTTTCTTCAATTTCTCCTCTACAATTTCTAAAGCTCGAAAACACCATTAGAAATAAAAATTATCTCATTTTCAACGATAATGGAACGTAACAAAAACCAGTTAATTAATTCTCTGAACATTTCTAGAACCATTTAACGTTCATGTATTCTCAACAATGTCAATTTATGATTTCTAGCGTTTCGCTGAGTTCCACAAGCTTTTCTTGAAGCAAATAGCAATCTTTTCACTACTTTTTCCTTAATATTCCATTCCATGGTTTGCAAATTGCAAATTGCATTAATGCATTATTTAATTAGCAAATATTTTTCATTGTTATTTTCATCAGCAATTAGTCCATTTTCAAACTCCTTTGGCTGTAAAAATGTGATTTTGAATTTTGAAGAGTAATTATAAATTCTCACCTAATATTGTGTTGTCGAAAACTAATTAAATTTAAAGTAACTTTGTAGCATCGAATTAGCAATAATTAGAAAAAAACAAGAAAAAAACCTGTTATCGAATTGTACAGCGATTCTACTCCTTCGGGTATTATTACTGATAGCGCTGTACCAACTAGGAGACCTGCACCGAATATACTAGCCAGACGCATACGATGCTAAAATCTTTTGCACGAAAATTCACCAAATATTAATCAAAGAATGAGAGGTAGTTCCAGGGGTAGTCATGAAATTATTTTTGTAGGCGACCATTTTAATAAAATGAAAAAAAAGTTTCCTCACTTCACGTAATAAATGTTACTTTCCTTAATTAAAAAATGAAATAAAATTAATCACCTCAGACATGCTAAACGCAAATGGAACTGATCCGGCGAGATAGCTTCCACCGAACATTGCCACTGACAGAAATGTCAAAAGATAAACCCCCCTCATGCTAAAATCATACGAAATCATGCAGATTTTATTGTACAGTCTATGGTCACCGCCTGAAAACGGCAAAATTTAGGAGAAACAAATTCAATAGAATTTAAAAATTAAAATATAGCGCAATAATCTCTTCCATGAAAAAGGAAACGAATTTCGCATATGTCAGAGATAAATTGGTATATCAAAAACAGAGAAGAAAAAATTATTAAAACGCATAAAAATATTTTTAAAAATAAAAAAATAAATAGAAAGAATATTTGCAGATGAAATATTTTCTAGGCATTACATATAAATAAAATTCAAATTAAAATTCATATAAATTATTCTGCGTGAAATATTGATTAAAAAATAAAATACTTGCGTTTTTGTTTTCGTCTGATATTCTTTGTAACTGAAATAAATTCGACTAAAAAAATTTTGCAAATGAAGAAAGAAATGAAACGGATGTGAGCAGCAATAAAGTTGATTTTTTCGACTTATAAAAAGGCCGATAAACGAGATGAAAAGTTGCGTGAAATAAAATTTATGAACGAAAAACATCCAAAAATAAAAATTCTTTCATCCAGCATTTTTAATTTTCTCACTCTCACTGACCAATATTTTATAGAAATAAACCAAGAAATATTCTCACATTATCGCTTTTTATCACTTCAAACCATATCAAAATTGAAAATATAAAAGCAACATGATAAAATGAATGTTTGCAGTTGAAAATCAATCAAAATTATTTGCTTTCAGAAAATTCAAATCAATTTATTCTACAAGAAGAAAAGCAAATCTTTGAAAGAGATTTAACAAAATCTCGGAAAAAGACCAATTAACAAGACTCGTTTAACGAAGTTTATTCATAAAATAACAAGTTTTAAACAAGACAGCTTCATTTTCCTATAAATCATTGCTACTACAACGATTTTTTCTCGAAAAAAACAAAACGAAATTTCCATGAAGTCCATTCAAAAAAAATTCTATATGAACACAAAAAACTGGTCAAAAAAACTTAAATAAGTTGTAAAATCCATAAGAAAATTAAGTGAAAAATTATGAAAAAAAATTCAGAAAAAGGATAAAACTCATCTGCTCAAATAGATTTTTAAATTATCAAAATTTGTTGCCATAAAAAAGGCAACAAGTGGGCATTTCCCTTTCCTTATTAGAGATTTCACTGCAATTTTTTTAAAACAATTTCTGAAAAAAAAAGTTTTTTAAGCAAAAGATTTTTTAAGAAAGAAAATTAATACTTATTAATATTTGTAAAAATAAATTTAAAAAATTAATATTTATAAAATTAATATTTATTTATTAATATTTATAATAATTCAAAGGAATAAAAAATATTAAAGAAAAATAAATAAATAAATATTTCAATATTAGTGGGTTTTACGTAAAAAACATCAAAAAATACGGAAATTTAAAAATAAAATAAAATTTTAAATCAACTAATGCATTATAAAAAAAACAACGATAATACCAAATAATAAATTTTTGATATTGTTGTTAACTAAAATTGATCAAAACTTATTTAAAAGTAAAGCAAAAAATTTTGAAATTTGTAAAAGGAAAGTTGAAATTGAGCCAATTAATTACTAACTTAACTATTAATTTTAACTTATTAACTAATTAACTTAATTATCGGAAGGTGGGAAACGATTCCCATAACGCAGAATAAACACTCAGCCAGTGGTTCAGTGCTTAGAGGCTTAGTGCCGCTTAGAAGTAGCTGCTTCATGTCGACGAAAAGGAAGCAAATCACTCGATGTTCTTAACAGAACAGACTACTCAAAAATACAAATAAATAAATAAAAATAATCAGTTTAGTACCAAGAATAGAGAAGTAAATTATGAATAAATAAATAATAAAAAAAATATTAAAGGTGTAAATAAAAATTAAAAATAAATATCAGAGTTTTTCGCTCAAAAATTTAAAATCATAATTTACTTAAAACCAATTTAAAAATTTAATTTAAACACTTTATCAAAAATATGTAAATAAAAATAAGAATAATCAACGGTTATTCAAAATATAACCAGAATTATCAATAAATTATCAATAAAATTCGAAATTCAGTTATGTCTCGAAGCGATTTTCTGTATATCGTACCTCTCGATTCTATTTGCCACGCCTTTAACGGTTCTTTAATCTGTAAATAACTTATTGTTTACCGTGTTTTTACGCATCGTTTGGTAGGTTTGGGTGGGACTAAAGGTTAGATTTGGCTTGACCTTTGACCCTCGGCGAGGTTTTACTTCGTTCATGTTGGATATTTTGCTTTTAAAGAAGTTGCATCTTGTGCGGAAAGCATGAAATTTAATATTTATTGTAAAAAAAGATTAAAAAAAGTTAGTTGAGAACTGATTTAATAGTGTATCTCAAAGGCCTTTAATATTTTATTTTATTTAATATCCTATATATATTTCGTTTTTTAAAAAAAAAGTTCTAAAACAAGTTTCTATTTCAGTGGGCTTTTTTTATTGCGAAGGTTTATTCATTTCTTTATTTAAATAGCAGTGCACTCGAAGCTTTGAATCGTTATAAAATAACAAGAAAAAAGATTATCAGCAGAATAGTTTAATTAAACGCATAAATAATTGCGTTAGAGTTAACGCGTAATTATCCCATAACACGAAGAATTTTGCCTAACCTTATAATGCATTTATTATATATATATTACAGTTTTATAAATAACATTGTTTAGTTTTCTTTCAGAATTATTTATCGATGACATTTTTTTTTATTCCGCTAAACAAAACATAGAAAATAGGAAATTTTTAATTCGGTTGTTTGAGACGAAATGTTTATTTTTTAAATATTTTATCGATATTTTAAAAGATTTTTATATTAATAAAAAGGAATCCGTAAAATTTTGTGAGTTGTATTAAATTTGAAATTTTATAAGTAAATTAATTTTAAGCAAATTAATTTTCCGAAAAAAAATGTAATAGAATTTGTATAAAAAAATAATTATATAAAGAAGATTAAATTACGACTTACTCCTTTTTTTTTTTTTAATTTGCTGTCAGCGTTCTTTTAAAAAAAATTTTTTTTTTTGGTTGAATTATAAATAAATTTTAAACAGATTTGTGATTTTTAGTCGAATTAATAATTTATTCCAAGTTAAGTTTAATTTTAGTATTTTGCTATCTATACATATATTTTGCTATTTTTAATACTTAGTAATATATCAAACTGTTTGCGGGTGCAACATCGACATTACGAGAAAGGCGTTCAGTCGCCGGCGCGATGCTTAAACCGAAGAAAAAGGAAAGAGATAAAGAATCAAAAGTTAGTTTTTTCATTTTCGAATATTTTATGTTAAAATTGGAATTGATTGATTGTTATGCAAGATTTTGATAAGTATTTAAAATACTTTTTATTAAATTTTTTTCTTAGAATTGCATATTTTAAAATATTTGTGATGCTGAATCGTTGATGGTTTTTCGTTTATTCTACAAAATTTAAATTGATTCATACTTTCTAAAAAATATTTTTCAGAGAGGGCTTAGTTAAAGAAAAGTAGTTTGAAGATTTAAGAATAGTTTATAATTCAACTTAAATGATAATATTTTCAAATTTTTTAGAATGATAAAGATGATAACAAAAAAGATGATAAGAAAAAAGAAGGAAAAGAAGTTAAAAAAGAGGAAAGAAATATTGAAACAACAGTAAATGGAACATCAAAATCGACGCCATCGATTAAAGCTGAAGAGCTGCCTAACGAAAATCCTCCAAATGATGCACCACCACTGACTTCACTTAAAAAGGTATTATTTTTTTAAATAAATATTTTATATACATATATATATATATATTTATATATATAAATTTTTTTTAATGATAAATGTAGTGATTTTTTTTGGTTTCTAATTCATTTTTCATTCTCATATCATTTGTATCCTTTGTAACATCTTTCATTTTTGCTTTTTTCATGATAATTCAATTTGAGAAGTAATTTTAGCCTGTTTCAGTCTGCGCTAACTGGTGGTCCAGCGATACCTCGCCGTGATCGTCGTCAAAGTAGTTCTTTATTTCTAATCTCAGCGAATCGGGAACTTATTAAATTACCAAATATAAAAGGTTGTCTATTTTTGTTTATTTTCTTGATTTGTTGCATTTATTTCTGTATTATTGCATGAATTGTTTTTATATTTTCGAATACAATTATATATCACTAGAGTATTGTTTAGATGCTGAACCTGCTGCGAAAGAAGATCTTTTCATTCAGAAATTGCGACAGTGTTGTGTTGTATTTGATTTTGTTATTGACCCTCTATCGGATCTCAAATTTAAAGAAGTGTTTTTGTTTTTATTGGCTTATTAAAACGTTCTCGCTTTCATTGATTTTTGTTCAAAAAGACCACTATGATGAATGACAAATTTTTTTTATAGTTTGTAAATTTTAAATTTTTAAATTTTAATTTTGTGTTTATCGCACACTTCTTCATTTTTAACCGTATAGAATAATTTTTTATTAAATTATGCATTTATCTTAAGTGATTCTCCAGTCTTAAACATTTTTTTAGGTCAAACGATCGACACTTAACGAACTCACTGATTATGTTTCAACTGGCCAAGGTGTCATTACGGAAGCGATATATCCTGAAGTTATCAATATGGTATTGAGATATTTTATTTTTTGCCTAAATGGAAAAATAAAATTTCACTTGAATATCAAATTTTTTTGTCATTTTTTAAGCTGAGTGTGAATTTATTTCGTGTGCTATCGCCGCCTTCGAATCCTGTCGGAGCAGAGTATGATCCTGACGAAGATGAACCAACTTTAGAAGCTGCTTGGCCTCATCTACAAGTAATTTCGCATTGTAATATTGGCTATTTTATATTTTTTGTCTTTGGGTGATAGTGATTTTTCGAAAGATCAAAAAATAATATATTTTTTAGCTGGTTTACGAATTTTTTCTACGCTTTCTTGAATGCAGCGAATTTCAAGCAAACATGGCAAAGCGATATATAGATCAGAAATTTGTTCTGAAGGTTTGCATTGATAATCGTCTTTTTAGCATCTTCATCTGCTTCATTTGAATTTTATATTATATTTTGAAAAAAAGAAATACGTTGTTGGTAATTGGTTTATATTATTTTTTTGGGTTATCGTAGACTAAAACATCATTTCAGTATCAGTTATTTTATAATAAGTGCCTTTCCTTAATGAATATTTTCCAAAGCATAAAAAAATGAGAAAAGGATTAAGAAAAGTTTAATCAATACTTTAGGTCTCTTTAGCACATTTTTTAGTACTAAAAACTTTCCAGTTAATTGAATTATCGGATAGCGAAGATCCCAGAGAAAGAGATTTCCTCAAAACAACGCTACATCGAATTTACGGTAAATTTCTTGGATTGCGAGCTTTTATGCGTAAGCAGATCAACAACATTTTTTATACGTTTATCTATGAAACGGAACGGCACAATGGGATAGCAGAATTACTGGAAATATTGGGAAGTATAATTAATGGATTCGCATTACCATTAAAAGAAGAACATAAAACTTTTCTTCTTCGTGTTTTATTACCTCTTCATAAGGTATTTTGAATCTATTTCATCTGAAGTCTTGTATAATTTTATATAATGTTGGGTTATATAATTTTTTATCCAGGTGAAATCTCTATCAGTTTATCATCCCCAGCTGGCATATTGTGTTGTCCAGTTTTTGGAAAAAGATCCAAGCTTAACTCAGGCTGTAATACATTCACTTCTCAAATTTTGGCCAAAAGTTCATAGCCCAAAAGAAGTTAGTTGTTTTAGAATTTTATATATTTTCCTTTATACGGAACGATACTTTGTTGTGTAATCATTACGGAATTTAAGGTAATGTTTTTAAATGAATTGGAAGAAATTCTGGACGTAATTGAGCCAGCAGAATTCCAGAAAGTGATGGTGCCACTGTTTCATCAGCTCGCTCGCTGCGTATCTTCACCACATTTTCAGGTCACTACTTTCAAAAAAATTTTTTGTCTCACCAACTCTTGAAGCACCTGTAAATACTGAATGTTTTTTACTTCTACTTTTCTTTTCTCTCTTATCAATCAATATCTTTTTTATCTTATCCTTAGTTGTTCTAGGTTGCTGAGCGAGCTCTTTATTATTGGAATAACGAATATATTATGTCATTAATTGGTGATAATGCTGCAGTGATCTTGCCTATCATGTATCCAGCGCTTTATAAACATGCTAAGAATCATTGGAACAAGTAAGTATCAATTTAATGATTTTTTTTTCATATTTTCCATTATATTTCATTTTTTTACCACTTAATCTTGTTTCTCTTGGTTGTTCTGGAACTCTGATTTTTCATTCTAATTTTCATTTTGAAATATACATTTTCAATGACTTTACCTATAGAACGATTCATGGTTTGATATACAATGCGTTGAAATTGTTTATGGAAATAAATCATCGTTTATTCGACGAATGTTCGCAAAATTTCCAACAAGAAAGGGAAGAAGAAAAGGAACGTTTGATAGCAAAGATTAATATGTGGAAAAATATTGAACAGAAGGCTCGTCAAAATCCCAATGTAGGAATAATAATTTGTCATGTTACCAGTAAAATGTTAAAATCTTACTGTTAATCTGTTTTTTAATGATAATATAATTTGATTGGAAATCCTTCTCGGATATAGAATGCTTCATTAGTCACTTATTGATAAAAACTTATGTGAACCTGAATTATAAAATTTTATTTTACTACTCTTTCATTTCAGTATTCAGTGATTAGTAAAGAAGTTGACGAAAGCTGCTCTTCTTTGGCTTATTTATCATTATTAAATAATTTTAATGGTGACACACTGGATCCTAATCAAATAAGGCAGCAGGCCACTCGATTCGTAAGTTTTGAATTATTTTAAGGCAACAGTTAGCATGCTGAAGAGAGTTATTATTTAAAACTTGAAATTATTGGTGGTTTTTCCTAGTTCTTACTTGCTAATTTGATGTAGGATTCGATTCAGTCAGATACATACACAATCCACGAAATTATAGTCGCATCTTTAAGAATTTTGGTTAAATTTTTTTCCAGTCGAGAGAAGCGATTCGAGAAGATACTGAAACAACTCGTCGGAGAAGCGATCTACCACATGATCCAAATACTGAGCGAGCTTTGGATGAACATCGTCGACATGACGCCTATCTTCGATCTGTTCCTAACGAATGATCATGTAAATTTCACATTATAGTAATAAGTTTCATTAGCTACCATCTACTTTAATGGCATTTTAATAATAAAAACCAAAAATTTCTCGGGTGTCTGTTTCAAGTGGCCTATTCGCATTTCATGTCATCCTTATTCTGAAAATCGTGCAACGAATTCGAAATAATCTTATTATTTTTCATGTGTGAGGTAAAAGTTGATGAAAAAATACAAGTTTGTTTAGCAAAAATTGATGAATAGTTCAAAATTTTTTGTAATTGTACAATTTTTGTTATGATTTGCTAATTATTTTATTTTTTATCTTGTGATTCATTCAAATTTTTTGATTCTGGGAGAAAAAGTTGTTCAATTCTTTCCAGTTCTAACCATTTACAAGTTTTTTATAACGTTTGCATACTTTTCTTATTTATTACATTCTTTTCTTTTTTCCTATGCCAAAAATAGTTTTGTTACTGATTAAGCTTTGGACTTCGCTGACAAATTAAAAAATTAGTGGTGAATAACTGGAAAGGAATTTTTTTTCTCTTAGTGAAAATGTTTTCATAACCTTAGTAATATTTTTTCCATCGAAAGCGGATACATTTTTTGAAATCTGCCTTAGGCACTTTTTTCTACTTACATCGTTTTTTGTTTCATATCCTCGGTCTTTTTATCTTTGTAAATTTTATTGATCGTTTGTTTTGCTCATATATTTTGAAATTCATCAGTGAAAATTTTAATGAATTATATTTTTTAAAGTTTGCCCTGAATTTTATGAAGAAGTTTTTAATTTATTGGGAATTTCAGATTGATTTTCTGGCAAAATTTTTTAAATGGAATTTTTATTTTTTATATTGTCATCATTCTCATTTGGTAAAGATATGATAAAGTTTGTTATCTATGACAGTTTTTCAACACTTGTGTTCCTATAAAAACATTTCAATTTACCTTTTCTTTATCGATGAGAACCCTTTAGTACAATTGTATTAACTGTATTTTGGTAATGAGTTTTGTATTCTAATTTGTAATAATCGTTTTATATGCAAGATGAGATACTGAGTTTTAGTTTTATATATATATATATATATATATATAAATTATGTTATTTTTCGGTTATAAATAGAATTAACATAAAAATATATAAATTATATAAATTAATCAAGTATAATGTTGCAATCGTCGGAAACTTTGTTTTTCTGTTATCAAATAAAAAATTTTATTTTCTTTTTATACAGCCAAATCAGCCAAATGTTTCGTTGCATATTCTTCTAACATCTATCACGATGTTAATGCTCGGCTAGAGTGCCAACAGAACATAAAAGCAACTCTTCCAAAGTACGCGTGGTCGAGACAGATTGGTTTGTGTCCCACTTCTCTGTGCCTCCCGAAAATGGCTTCGAGAATGGAGTTTAAGTGGGTGGCGTCTTCACTTTGCGAAGGAGTGGTGGAGGGGGGGAGGGTTTAAGTTTAATATTAGTGCTGAAGAGTACATCTGTATTTGCGTGGCATTTTGCAGACCGTCAAATTTCCAATCAAAGTGGTTTGTTTGATCAATCATCGCTGAAAGTCGAAACTGACTCAGACCATGTTATAGTTAGAACTAGTGTTAAGATTGGAAATGAGAACATTCCCCAAAACACTCTTCCTGAAATTGAATTCTGAATTTTACATTTTAAGGCAAATTATTAGAGTACCTAAAGGAATATAACATTGGTGACTCTTCTGAAACGCAAATAAGCACTGTGCACTTCAGTGGCGAAATAATGCAACCTTCCGAAATTCGAATCAAGGTTGTGTGCTCTCCCAACCGATTTTTGCCTATGCGACAAATTAGAATATGGATATTGGTTACAGCTTAATATCACGGAGATTAAATATGTTAATGATGTTACCTTTTTTCTTACAGTTATGAAAAGCAACAGGTCTATTATCGATAGCAATATATAACGAAAATTTGCCTTCAAATATAAGTAAGAGGAAATTCTTCCTACCATATTCTTCACTGATAAGATTGCAATTTCTACAAATTCAGCATCTATTCAAGATGCGACAAATATCTTGGATCCATTTTTTACCTAGGGACTAGGTAAAAGTGAAATCCCAGTTTGGATCGCTGCAAGAAGTGCTTTTTGGCGAAGGGTCAAAATGAAAATTTACATCTTTCTGATGTAGTGTGAAAAATCTTGCGATATATGCGAAACATGGCCAATAATAGTGGAAAATATGAAGATATCTGTTACCATTCTTATGATATATCCTAGCATCTGGCTTCGTCCGAATTGATAATATCACGGAGTTAAGCCATGCTCTTCGTTGTCAGCCACAGGAACTTATGCACATCTTGCTTCTTGCTAAGCTTGATTGCGTCAAAAATAGAACTAATCCCGGATTTATCCTTAACAGAACTAATAAGCTGTTCGGCCATTTTGCTCTTGCAACATTGTTGCGATAGCAGTAGTCAGCGGCGCATTTAGCTAAGGAAGTTTCGCAATTAGAATTAGCCTCCTATAACAAAAAGCACCCATAAATAAATGCCAAAGTTAGAATTTTTAGAAAATTTTCTTAACTATTAGAGTCATAGGAAATTGTGAAATTCAGGCAATAAATTTTTAACTGAACAACGATTGTTCATGGACCATCGATGAATCATTGATCCTGCATAAGGTTCAGTGATTAAAGTGTCGGACTTTGGATCGGAAGATGCACATTCAAGCTCTGCCAGAGCCAAATTTTTGCTATCTTTCTGCAGCTGATGTGACTCTAAGTGAGTATTTTTTCAAAAACTTTGGTTGAAATTAACAAATATTTCTGAGAAATTCATTTATTTTTTCCGAGCCTTATTTGTACTGCTCTATATTGCTCTATAATGAATTGTTTGCTTAAATTCAAGAGAATTGGCCAAGAGTTTCTTGCTCTCATTTATTTTCATTTCCGATAGAAATTCCCTTTTTTCAAGATTCAAATCTCCAAATTATTTAAATCTAAAGGAATTAAAGCTCAAAAGAGGTTCGAACTTCTCTAAACTTTTGATTTAGCAATGGGATATTATATTACCGATTTTATTGTTATACTCTATATATGTACAGAAAATGTTAAATGGCAATTAAAGAGTTGTATGATGATCACTCAAACTTTAGCGTAAAGATTTTTCTGAATAAATAAGTGAAAATGATTTGTTAACAAAGACATTGATAACTCACCGGAAATTCTCATTAGCTTAAGTCTGCGTTATTTCGCTAAGGATTCGATAAGGATTCGTAAAGAAGGTAAACAGAAAAAAATAATTCAGTTTATATAGCAAGCAACCCATTAAACTGAGGAAGGGTACCAAACTTTATACGATACTTATCAACCAATATTGGCACCAGAGCTAACAATTTTCGCACTCATAATTCTTGTTTCGAAAAACTGAAATGTTATTTGATTTTCTTTAAATAAATCATTTAATTATTATTAATTATACAAATTTCAAATAAACGAAGCAGGGAAAAAAACTTATAAATTATTCAATAAATAATTAATTAAATTATTGTCCAAAAAATAATTTCACCATATACTCGGCACGATTTTATTGTATAAGTTTTGTATAAACTAAACAGTTTTTGTAGTAATGAGTAGGTGAGCAATAGCTATACTAATGAACAACATAAATATAAATATAATGTAATGTAATATAATAAATAATAATACAATAATAATAGTAATAATAGTAATAGTTATACATTTGTACTTTCAAATTCTTTGAGCTTGTTTTTTTTCGAGTTAAGTAAAGCAGAGTGGCTACGATTGCTTGTAAAATCGTCAAAACTGCGAACACTGGTTAATCTGAAAATTTTTCGAGAATGTTTAATAATCTAAAGCCGTCGTGAGATTTATTTGCTTAAATAAACCAGAAAAAAATTCTAATACTTTGTGAAAATGCAAAAGAGAATTTATCAGCCAAATCGGCTAAACAGAATCGTCGACAAACCTGCTATTTAAACTCGATCTTTTTGCACGTAATTGTGCAGGATATCGAGTTGAACCCAGTCGAGACATAAACCAGGCAGATGATGCAAAGAGATGATTAACAGTTGGCCTTTTTCGTTTCATTGTTAGCCAAAAAAATAATAACGGATTCCAGATGACTGTTGACATCGCAATTATGTGCGCTACTAATGGCCATAGAAATGGTTGTCTTTGAAGAAATTCTGGTTCTTTTTCTGAAATTTTTTAATTTATTTGTTTGTCAGAGAAAGTTGAAGAAAATAGCAGTTTTTCAGAATTTACCTATGTGTCGCAATAGAATTTTTCAATGAATATTTTCCATCGAATTATTTACTGGATAGTTGCGTTCTACTGGCTATTGGGAAAATGCTCTTTCTTCAGAGACAGAACTTGAGGCAGAAATAAGGATTGTTCTCGGCACTATTCTGATTTGACTTTTAGGTATCATTCCCATCGAGAAGCAGAGGCACTTCGTAAAGCATTTTTTATACTACTGCATTCTTGAACTGTATTAAATGTATGAGGTTCATTTGTTTTGTTTCGAATTTCTGAATTTCTAAGCATGATTCACGAAAGATAAAATGGTCTAAATAACTTACTAAAATCTTTGACTAAATTAACAGTAGTCAGCGGCAACCAGCAACCGATGAACGCTACCACCATACCAATTAGAATGTAATTTACCTAAAATTAGGATTTTTTAAATAATGTTGACTTGAAAAACAACTATCTTAAAAACAAACTTTACAAGATTTAGTTGGCTCAAATGAGGGGAAGAAAATGGCTAGAAAAATATGAAGAATTTGACAAATGGCTGATAAGTTTTCTAATAATCTATTTTATTTCTAACCTATATATAATTATTGGTAAGAGGCCTTTGTCTCGATTGTCAACAATAAAATCCTTTTTATATGGCTATAAATTTTCTTTAAGTTTAAATATCAATCAGCCACCATTTATAAAATTAAATGACCAAAAATAATCTGATAACAATTTGTTTTAAATGATTACGAATCTTTTTGCTAAAAATTTTTATT